TAATATTTTGCTGCAAGCCGTACATCGTACTATACATAACGAACTTTCAATCATAGCAGTTCAAGTTTTTGAAACTTTTCTAAAATTGTTATGGTTTAGAATGTGAAATACGAAAAAGTTTGTTTTAAAGAAATAGAAACTTGAAGAATAAATCGATCAAATTCAATTTCCTTTAAAAGGTGCTGGTTTAATTAAAATAGTATTTTTTTTAAATCAACAATTAGGTCATAAATGTACCTTAACCTAATCCATCGATGCACATGACATTTTTTTTCTTCATTTTTTTGTTTATTTATGCGAAACCAGAACCATTTATTGAAGAAGTTGAATCAAACTATTTTTCCAGTGAGAAAAATGAGTCGAAGTTGTAGCAACGGTAAACCTGAAATTTTTCCTAACGAAAATAAACTTCAATGGAAGAGAAAACGCTTCAATAAGCAGGAAAAAAAAACTTTTCCCATGAAAAAGTAGAAAAAAAATGAAAATGACAAGATTCAGCTGATGCTTGATTTTTTCACCGAGTGACCACCGAGGTTCACTGCAACTTATGTTGTGCAGAGAACTAACATTGAAGCCATAGTTTCATTTCTCCGCGTCAATCTTCGTTTTAAATCGTTTCGAGCAGTGCAAAATAGCACAAAGTTAGACGATTGTACAACGTACAAATGGAAATAAAAAAGTTAAAGGGAATTTCCCCAGAGCAATGGTAGTAGTCGAACTGTTTCGTTACAAATTTAATTCGAGGAAGTATATTTGACAAGCTCGCGACTATAGTGTGACAATGTATATGTTGTGTGAGCGGGAAAAAGATAATTTCGACAATTCGATTTTTTTATCAATTGTTGATAATGATTGTGTTTCCACAATAAAATAATGCAAATCGTGGGAATAATGCCAATCTATCATGTTTTTGAAGTGATTTCTAGAAATTCCGGAAATGTCTCTGACATCGTAGAATTTCAATCATGTGCTAATAAAGTGTATAATTCAACAAAAAAAATGTGAACATTACTTTATATGGAAAAAGGTAAATCAACTGATTAATTTTTCATTTTCCCATAGTTTGAATATGTACTTTGAACGAAAAAGCAAGTGTAATAACTTCATTCAATTATTTCATATATGTTTGTTTAATTTTTTCAATCTCATCCAGAGGATGGTTTCAAGTTTCAGAAATATTCATTTTAAACTAAAATTCGATACAATTTGTTAGAAATTATAAATAAAAACCAGTTCAACATCCAATCACTCATTTTAGTGTGTTTTATACATGATTTTTTTCAATATTTTTTTCACAGTCATTCGCCATGGAAATAAACTTTGAATTGCCATCAATTAATGAGCGTAGTTTGTATTTTATGTTCACAAGAGGCATACCATACGTATGCATGCCACGGATGTATCAATACATGCCTTGCTAATTAATTTGTTAGGTGACTGCGATGTTAAAAAAAAAGGCACAGAAAATTTCAATTGAAATGCCAATCCTGTTCAATGGAACGATTTGTTTTTGTTTTAGTATCTTTTTCAGCTGCCTTTTAATTACAAATGTAGAACGTTGTTTCAATGGCAATTTTTCTATTTAAAATTCTGGCCAAATATGTGCGTTTTTTAAACGGAATGTGCACACTGCACATAATGAAACTTGGCTGCAGATAAAGACATCGTCGGATTAAAAGTAGAAGCAGCGCAATAGCACGTAGAACACAACTCTTATTATTTGTACAGTGTTCAATACAGAATTTTTGCCTAGCTTATAATTATATATTCTATAGCGACGTCATCTTGATATGCTCATCCATTCAGTTTTTAAATTCTTTGCACATTGGTTTATCTTGAGTGTGACAATTGACATTGGGATAAATAGGGATTAGATTACTATGGAATATTTTTATTCATATGGGATAAAAATATCGCATAAAAATAACAGATATTTTTCACGCTTTGCGTTCAACGAACCGCATTAATACACAATAGCGATTCTGCACACACAGAGTCGCTGTTTTTTTGTTATACTCTTCACACTTACGATGAGCTGCGCGGAGTGTGCATGCACATGTTTCGCTCACTTCTTTCTTTGAACACTCTTCGTGTGTCAACACAATGTCTGTGTGTATATCGCTTGTGCCGTCGTTTGTAAACGACGTCAATGAGCTGGGTACGAAGAGTGTCGATCGAAAGAAGTGAGCGAAACATATAAATGCACGCTCCGCGCAGCTCATCGTAAGTGTGAAGAGTATAACGGAAAAACAGCGACTCTGTGTGTGCAGAATCGCTATTGTGTATTCATGCGTTTCGCTGAATACAACGCGCGAAAAATATCTGTTATTTTTATGCGATATTATTATCCCATATGAATAAAAATATTCCATAGTAATCTCTGCTTTTTACAAATGAATACGCATCCAAATAAGGATGTGAAAACTTGTTAATGCATTTTTTTTCTAACATAATGCAAAATTGAATAAATTTTTTAAAAACATAATACAGAAGTAAAATTTGATTTTTCAATTTTGTTGATTATGAAATTTTTAAGAAAAGAACAAGAAAATTAGTCATTTTTACTGTGTATCTCTTTTTCATCATGTTGCTCCTCCGAATACAAAACGCAAATGGAGTGAACAAAACCATGAGTAATTTCAATGCAGAAAGTGCACAAACAAAGAATGAATGAAATCTTCCTTTTTATTGTAGTCGACCATTGTTTCGATTTATACGATTTTCTTTTGTATGTCTTATGGGGGTTACCCCATACTTTCCCTTTTGCAAGTTGCATTTCTAACCACCATTCACAACAACAACATTTTCCGGATACTTGAAATAATCGTGCTATGGAGTGGATTCCGTTTATGAGTTGCATAAAGAAAAATGAGCACTGGGTGCTATATATAACTTGTAGATGGGTAGAATTATTATTTATTCACTTTCTGAATATTGGCGAATGCCCTTGTGAATATTTTTTCCCTAAAATTTTCCAAGGAAAAACAACGCGATTTGCTTACTATTTTCCATTTAGTGATAATTCTAGTCTATTTTGAATGGTATTTTCTATATGTTATTCATTTATTATTACAATTGTCTTTTTTCTCGTCAGTGACTCGAACATTTTTTTCCATCGATGATGAGAAAAAAATTGTCTTGTGTTTTATTTCAGACTGCAAATGGAAGAAAGAAAACAAGTTCAATATAAATAGAATGAAATTTGGTGCTGAGGAGGAAATGCTGTTAAGCACATTATCACGATTCATGAATCAAATGAAATTTGATAGAAAAAACGGAATCCGCTTTCTTTAATACACTTTTTTCCGTATCCTGTTCTTTTTTCGCATAAAACGATGACAATGGGTGTTTTACATCTTCCTTCGCGGTCGGTATGACTTCTGTTGCTTCATCTCGTTGCGCTGCTTCGGTTGCACTCTGGTCGCGAGCTGAAAATCATTGAAAATAAGAGCATAAAAGGAAATTTAAATGAACTGAAACAACTTTTCATTCATGCAATCGAAGTTAACCCATTACAGATGGCATGCGATGCACTTTTTTCTTTCCACAACCGTATTTATCAAGCCTGGATGTAATATAAGTATTATAATCTCGCTTTTTCTAGCACTACTAAGTTTAGATTAAAAGACTCGCAGATTCAATTGAAAATCTTGCGCTTGCGGAACATTCAGTATGATATTTTTGTTGCATTAAAAAGCAGTATAACGCAGTTTTGTATGCTCTGCTTTGCATTTATGCCATTTCCATTGGGTTTCCGATGGTGCTTAAAATCCTGTTTGCATTTTCTTTTAGCAAATCAATATTATACGTGTTTCGCTGTCATGTAATAGTTTTCGCACATGAATTTTAATGATTTCTAAATTTATTGCTTCCATTGAGAAAACTTTTTCGCCCTGGTTGCGCCAACGAAATCTCGAGCATGCAAATGAAATAAACACAAGAAACTGTGTGCAATTCCCATGTCAAAGAAAATCAAACTAAAAAAAACCCTCTGTATAAAATTAAGACGAAAGAACAAGAAAATAGTGAAGAGAAAAGTCGCCAGCGTATATATTTTAAACCGCGTAAAATATTTTATGTGGTCTTTTTTGCATGATCATTTAGTATGCAACGCATTTACCGAATGAATTTTATGTGCACGAAATGCTGAACAGAAATTAAATTGAATTTTAGTTTTGTATTTTTTTAATGTCGTTATCACGTACAGCAATTGCTGTGTACAATTTAACCATTTTCCACCTTCATCTTTTCTCAAGCAAAAGTTTGTCAATTGAATCGCAACATTTTTCTTACATGAAATTTTTTTAGCTTCATATACACCATGCTGAACATTTCGAGTAAAGAAGCATTCGGCCCCAAAAAAATGTATCAAGAGTAAAATGCGTTTATATGAAGCATGAAATCATCATTGCGTTATTTGTTTTCAAAAATAATGTAATGCTTAACGTTAACCTCGTGAATGAGATAGTCTTTTGAACTCCCATGCTGATGAATGACAACAAAGGCAACCAACTGATACTAACTGATTTATGCTATTTGAAAACCATCAATGAATTAATGGAAAGTTGTATGCAACATTAACGGGCATGTAAAAATCGATTCTGCGTGAAATGGGGTTCGATATGCGTTGTTCATGCACTTATATGATGAGGGTGCGATATTTGGCCAGCTATAACGCAATTCTTCCCTCTATTTTTCGGAACTGCGAAAAGAACATACAACCGTGACGAATGTTCTTTATGGGCTAGTAAAGAATTTTGGGGGAAGAAAATCAATACTATAAGATAAACAAATCATTTGCCATACGATGTAAATTTTTTGCAATACGATTTTGTTTTATTCGAGTTTTTCTTTATTCAATCCTTTTTCCATGCAAATGCGTCTGTATGTTGTTTAATAATTAAACGAAACATTCTTCCATTGTTTTTGGTTCGATGCAAAAAAAATCCGGTCTGTAAAATTCAAAAACTGCGCTCATTTTAATTGAAACAAATACAAAATGCTATAATGTGAGTCGTTTATTTTCAATTATACGATTTTTCATTTTCTTCCATGCCAACATTAATTAAGCGGCTATTTTAGAATAATACTTTTTTGAAAAAATTGCATAAGGTAATTTATAGTTTTTTGGGAAATTGCTAAGCAACAAATTGAATAATGAACGAGGGGGTAAATATAACGAGAAATTGAAATAAGTGAGAGAAATGATGTGATTGTAGCAAAAATCAAAAATTTCTTAAGAAGACCTTATTATATTGAATGTAAATTAATAAGAAAAAGATGCTGAAAAAAACGTATAAGACTGAATCGATATGCGAATGATTTTAAAACGATGGAAATTATGTCATCAATTAGGAGGCTGAGAGATGGCTGATGCTGTGATCGGCGTATTCTACACAATCGAAAAAATTCATTTTGCAAATATGGCAACGGATCGCCTTGCTCGGTGTTCTTGTTATTCCAGTATGAGGACGCTTAATTTTTCTCAATTCAGCTCTTAAATTTTTCAAACCATTTTCAACGTCGATTGCCGCACCACCATCGCCTCGCATACCAGATGCATCTTCGTTTCTAACGCTCACAAAAAATCTAGAATATTTCGAAATAGAATCAATATCCTGACGGAGTGCATATGTTTTACGACGGTACACTTGCTTACTGTTGAAATCATCGACGTTCTTCTCATTTAGCGCACGCCGTGCAGAAGCAGGTATCTTTTCACATTTTTCAAGTAAATGCGTCATCATTCCATGATTTTTTGCGAAAAACTTATCACAATATTGACATTTGCCATTGCCATTGCCATTACCATTTGATGTAGGCATGTTACTCGCAGAAATCTTTGATCGTGACCGCACAGGCTCGCCATTGGGCTTGATAAATATTGCTTGGTTTAATGAAGATGAATTCGATAGATTCGATGATGTTGATGCTTTAGCGACTGCAAGAGTTGTGAGAGAATACTTTGTTTCGCGGCGCTGCGACCGCACACTTGTTGAGATCGACTGTCGTGTCGTTGAGACAATTGGAATCCTCGGTGGCTGATGTGAGAGTACTGTTTGTCTTGACTTTACCGTAGACATACGCGAAGCAATCTCACCTAGTCAAGAAATGAATGAAATTAGTTTTAATGGTAACACATATTATATATTCAACTTACTTTTTTTACTTGGTTGTTTTGCGGATGTGATTTTCAATGATTGTGTAGAGTTTGATACCATGTTACCCGACACATGATTGGTTGTTGAGTTTGCCGTTGTAGCAACATTTTTCTGAACTAAAAATGAATAAATGCAAATTTGATTTATTGTAGGACGAATGCAAAATGTTTGAGTTTTAAAACCCTTACCACCGATAGTTTTAGTGACTTTGTTGGCAATTTGCTTCAAGACACCCAAAGATTTTCGAGGATCAACTTTTCGTGGTTCATATGTAGATGATCGCCGTTTGTAAGATGTGGCACGTGTTGCTTTCTTTGCAATTGGTAGAATGCTCTTTCGATTATCGTTGGCCAATTGCTGACGATTTATTTTGACTGCATTTCTGGTTTGGGGTATATTTTTTCGTGCCTCTTCAATGATTTCTTCAACGGTTCGTATATTTGTAACTGTGTTTTCATTCGACAATTGTGGTGATACCGTCGACAACTGTGGAGTGACATTTTCCAACAAATCAGTCATCATATGCGGTGAACTATGCATTCCGTTTGATTCTGATAATTCAATGGCTTGAAGAGGTGTTACTGGTGATTTGTTGCCAGAAACATGCGAAACAGGTGCAGTGTGTACAGATGTTGCATGTTCTTCGCTATTATTTCTTTCACACGATTCCTTAGGAATTGCGTACTCGCTGGCAGATGGAGGATTTTCAATGATGGTGTTATGCAATTCACTTTCCAAATCGTCAGTGACATCCGACAATACAGATTCATCAATTGTGCTAGACTCAGCAACACTTTCACATTCTTCTTGTTCTTTGTTCGAAATGATTGGTAGGCTTTCTTCGATTGGTTTCAGATCGAAAGTTACATTTCTGTCCGAGTTAAGCGCTTCACTTTCCAAATCTTTGGTTTTGGCGATTTTGACAGTAGCTGCTGGTGTTGGACTTGGTTTAGATAAATGACTGAATGACACTCGTTTGTTATTTCTATTACGAGGAGTGTGATTCGTTTGCAAGACTTTTCGTAATAGTGGTGTTTTGGCCTTTGAAACACGGGGAGCAATTGGACTATTCGATGCATCCGTGATTGTCCATAGGCCACTATTGACTGAATTTTCTTTGTTCAGCACATTATCATCGACAAACGAATAATACAAACTGTTGTCAGAATCATCGGATTCCCTCGGAGTTGCGTACTCGCTGGTACAACTGTACCTCTTTTTCGGCGTAGCTGGTGATGTATCCACGTCGTCGATATTTTCCATTTTCGCGTTCCTATTTAAATATTCAGAAACTTATTACTTCGGCTTTGATCAATAGAAAAAAATACCATAACAGAACTGGTCGATGTATTTATTGAGTTTAAAATACATAAAATTAAATATAACAATTCAATAGATACGATCAAAGAACTCACCAGAAAATAATAAGTGAAAGAAATATAACTATAATTGGTCAATGTATTTGTTGCGTATATGATGTCCAAAACAATAAATTTACTGAATAGATACAACACGTCGTCAGTGGAGTACGTTTAAATTTATGATTTCGAACAAATTTTCTTATCGGAAAAAGACAAGCACAAAAAAAACGACACAAACGATTTTTTTTTCAAGAGACGCTTTCAATGACAACTCATTATGATAAATGCTAGTTGATATTTGAAATTCAGTTGTTCGAATCGTCAAATTCAAACATATTTAACAGATTTTTCATACGGTTAGGTTGGTATCAGTAATCTGAGGGTATGTTCTTTGTGTTATCGAATAAACTATCTTGAATGTTTTTTTTTATCATAGTAATAATATATTCCCTGATTTTTTTTTGGAAATAGTTTTATCGATGGGAGCAGTTGCTTTTTAATGATGAATAAAAAAAAGGAGTTTTATATCATCTGAGTTATTTGCGCCGGTGCAGATGAGTGTTCAGAATTGTTGTCAAACATATTATAACGAGTAGTTGGTTCTAGTATTCACAGACTGTCAGTTGGTTCTAGTCTTCACTATTCTGTAAAAGAGAACGGATTTTATATTGACATTTTGGGATTTTTCTGCTATAAACTTCTAAATTATTATTATGAAATACCTTCCGTTTAGCAGTAGAGCGTGTTTTTGATATGAGTCATATGAAAAGTACCTATTTTCAATGTAAAGTTATTGCAGAAAGAGCAACAAATTCAGCTTCAATTAAAAAATCAATTGACACACTTCTCAACGCAGAAAAAATGTTATAAATTGCATTGTTTAATACTATATTAATATCATCATATTTAAGATAAATATACAATAAATACAAAAACGCGCCACTACAGGACCAGACAATTCAAATGGGTTTACGCATGAATGACAGAATATCTTGCATTCGTTTGCATATTGTTATTTTGACAAGCGACAACTTTGTTTTATCGCAATTTTGCAGTTGCAAATTGTACAGTACATACAGAACGTATTTCATATTAAAAGGCACACCAATTATAGAATAAATGAACATGTGCATTAAATAACGATGTCTTCGTCGCAATTTGTTTACCAGTATACGCTATATGTGTTGCGATGCAACGAAACTAAAATGCTCTCACAGCTTTTTATTGAATTCACGTAGTTACTATAGCTCAAAGTAATTAAATTATGCATTCACTCACGATACGCGAATGAGTTTCGCACAATAGCGAACATTGGCTTACTAAAAGTGATTTGAATTTGAAGAGTGTTCAGGGAACGACAAGAAAGTGAGAAGATAGTTGCTTTGAGTATATGTGATGCCACTAGAAGACGCAATTATGCAAAGCTTCTGAATTAAATATATAAAATATAAGCGATTTTGGAGGAATTTTTTGCTAGCGCGAAGTGTGCAAAGGGATTGTTCGAGCGACTGATAAACTATGCTAACAAAGTGTATTGCTTCGTCGATGTATGTTATGTTCTGTAGTCAAGCGCCTTAATTGTGAGTCATTTGATACTTTAAATGAATGAAAACCTATTTAAATGCAATGGAAAATTTGCTAAAAGAAACTAAAACATAATAACGTTTTAATTATCATCACATTTCAAGCGACTTGAGTCTAATTTTGAATACCGTTGAAACACTTTCGCAATTACGTATTATATTCATTCAGCAAAGAGACATTTCATGAATGTTCAAAGTTCTTTTCAAATTAATTTTACACCTGTTGATGCATCAACACAGGGATGTTTTTATAATTTTATAAGTGTTCAAAATTAACTTGTAAACTCAAACATACACTGTATAAAATTCACTGGTAAAATTATTCCTCCATCATAAAAAATAGCCTTGTGTCGCAAGTGAGAAAATGGATATGGAGCTTTCAAAACCAATTTTCCGATGGTTGTATGTGATGAGTTGTAATTGTTGGTAATGGCTATTATGCGATGCTTGAACTTGATTCTTATCCGCCTAATGAATCATTTTATTCATGGATGCTTGTACATAGGTATGATTGGTGACACATACCCATTTGGTAAGCGCGTCAATAAAGGAAATGTATTTGAGCGCGCATCGTTGAGCACATCTTCCGTAACATATTACATGCTACACTTCCAAACAAAAATGTCACAATGAATTACGCTCACAAAAGCCTATACGTGAGCATTGTAACTGATGAAAAAGGTAAAAAAATAGTACGTACAATATTCTTTTGTATTATTATTAGTACGTACAAAATTTTTTTCATTTGAAAATTTAACAATGTATATTTTTTTTTACAATAATAAAATGGTTTGATTACGGCCATTTATTGGTCAAATCCGAATAATCCAATCGGATTATAGTGAATACACCATTGTTGAGAATCCTAACCAGAATTGCTATTCAATCGAACAATCCAATCAAGAACTTAAACTTGTGACTTTGTTCTATTTCAGTGTTAATCCAGATGAATGAACTCGCAGTAGTACTTACCCTATTATCCACGTCGCAAACCATTCACAGCACGTTCGTCAACCTTCACAGTACACGTCTGTTGCAGTGTTTGAAGGGGAAGAAAGCTTGAATGCTAGGCTAGAACAATGTATGGCATAGTTCAAACAATAATCACGTTTTTTGATTTTTCAAAAAATATATTTGCCTAGAATCAATACATATAATAATTTAACAATATTCGTACTGTTACTCTAAAATGTGATTGGAAACAAAAATTTTAAGTGAAGTATTTGCGAAACAAAGTTTATATCGCGCAGTCAAAGCTGTCACAGTAAGCAACGTAATTTGATATATGAAATGAAACATCTTTAATATAGTGTTCACATGTTTACGAATGAATTCTTGGAACAGATCTTCTGTGTTAAAGATCAGTTGAAAGAAATGTCTGTTGTTGGAATGTGAACGTTTTCTTTTATCAAATCCATGGGCATTTTTCTCGTCAAATTTGATTTTTTTCTATTGGAAATAGATCATAATAAGATGGTTGACTTATCAGGGGTCTATTTGTATTCCATTAAAAACATCAATCCCATGGATAATTTTTTTTGGTCACCAAAAATGATAATTCTGAACATTTTAAATGAAAAAAAAAAAACAAATGCGTAGTTAAAAACATTTATAATTAAATGTTCTGCTGTGTTGTTAGACGATTTCTCTAATATTGAAGGATGGAAAAACATGATTAACTTTTGAATTGTGTTTTATTCCCATTTTTTCAACAATAGCAAAGTAACATGGAAAAAATGGTTCTTTTGGCATCAAAATCAAATAAAACATACATCCAGAAATTTGAAAAAAAACGCGTTACTGTCCAAATTGAAATTGGCCGATAACTATGAAATGTGTGTTATCATGTATATGTTCAAATTTTCTTGGGTACATTTAATAAATACTTCAAGTTCTTAGCTTAAAATCCTATCAAACACATTTCGAGTTTGTAGGTTTTGTTGAAATAAATTCCATATCTCAATGGAAAAACCGTCAATTCTCTATTTCTCTTCGCCTTTATATGTGCATCAAATTCATTCCGATTCAAAGGAAAAAACACTTTTGCGATATAACATTTTGATTCGTTTCCACCATTTCTCGGCAATTTCACTACCATTTTGATATTAAGACTAAATATACAATGTTTTTTGTCCTGTTACTATTCTTTGATCTTAACTCATTCAGAAAGTCACAAATTTTATTCTTTTACAAAAGGCCACCCTTTCTACCAAAAAAGAGAGAACTAATGCTGCCTACAAAGCTCTGTGTGTAGGATTGCTGTGGTGCCACTGATGCAATACTAGACCGATCATCATCGTCTGAATCCAATTCTTGTATCAGCTTTGTGCTGTGAGTTGACTTACTATGACTATTATTACTATTTTTTTTCGTAGTCCCCGGCCCAACAGTGCCGAGGTCAGGTCTTTGGCCACCACCTCCATTCATTAGACTTCTCCGACTCTTTTGTCGCTGCATTTGTTTTACTTTCTGCGGTGTTTTCTCGTTGCGATTTGTTGTTCCAATGCTTATTTGCGAGGACGCTTCAAATGGTGGTTTCTGGTTATTCAGCGTCGAGTCAGAATCATCCAGACGTGTTATTGAGCTGGTGGTTGAACCATCGGTTGTAATATCACTCAGAAGACTTTCATGTGAAAGGCCTTTGTTCAAAACTGCTTTTATTGTCTCCTTGTCTACAGCATATGGGTCATCACTTCGCCGGTGCTGTTGTGAAATATTCTTCAAACTAGTCAATTGTGTCATTGGACTTGCCGTTCGCGTCCGTACAGAGCCTACAGCTAGTGGACTTATACCGACTGGGTGGTAATTTGAAGATGCGTGCATTATATTTTCCAATCCGATGCTTTCGACTTTTTCCATTAATCGCAGTGATCGCAGAGCACGTTTCTCTTGTCGAGAAAGAAGAATCTTATTTCGAGCTGGTATGCGGGATGATCTGTCTGGACTTTCACTATTGTTTCCAACTAATTTTCGTCGAATCATATCAGCACCCGAGTATAGCAATCCTGTTAACAACGGTGGTTCGGGTGAACGATCTCGTGTCGGTGATCCTTCTAAAAATGTTGATTGAGTGGAGTTAACAAATTTATTAAATATTTATATTTTACAGATTACAATTTTAATATATCTCACGTATAAATTGGCATACTAACTAAAATTAAACATAGCTAATTAATTTTATTCTACCTGGGCTATTGCATGGTGTGACTGTTGGAGAGTGATTTTGACCTGCTGGTGTGTTTAGTGCGCTTGGTGTAACTGCTTTAATACCTCGTTCGTTAAGCATAGAAGCAAGACCCGCACTCACAGAGAATGTTGAGCAGGAATTTCGTCGAGATAGACCTGTATGTGGTGTTGCTGGTGCGCTAAATGCATAATATTAAAATATTTATTACATTTTGATTGAGCCGAAAATTTTGTTGGGGTTACAAAACAACAAATAATAATGATTTAAGTACCTTGGCTGGCGTGAACTGCTTATTGAATTTATTTTTGATGACATTTGCGATTGAGGTAAACTGGATGTCAATGACATTCCGTCATCCGGATGCATCACTGTGCTGTTCGTGTACGTATAAATGCTGCCTAATGTTTCGTATTGCTTGCCTGGATGATCTGCTTCATCCTCTTCAACATCTGATAGTGAGTACAAATGTAAGCCAAGTTCATCCAAGCCACGGCCCCCACGAATTGTAACACCAGGACGCTCATCTAGAAGACCGCTTAGCGTTGGTGTGGCTAAGCGATTCCAATGATGTAGAGTTTGTGAACCTTCCATAGGCATTACCAATTCAAGTTTTTTTCGCCATGGGTGGTTGGAAGAATAGCATAAACTGCCGCCTGATGAACCTGTCGACATTATGCTATCAGGTGTACGGAAACCAGTTCTACCATCGATTCCTTCTTCGTATGAGTATGTACCGGGTGGTGCATTCGAAAGCATTGTACGACGAACTAAAACTTCAGCTGGTGTAAGTCTTTTCAGCGCTGCTTCTAATTCTTTCGATCCTGGCGCACCAGGTACTCCAATGGGTTTAGATGGATAACTTTCTTCCGAATCTGATGTTAGGCTATCGTGCGAATAAGTCTTTGAGCCCATTGAAGCTGGATAAGATGAATTTCCATAAATCGATGGACTTTTTGTCGTATCCACTCCACTGGCGAATGGAAATGAAGACATACGCGGTTGTGTTGCGCTATTGCTCATTGACATTGAACCAAGCTGTATAGGTTGGTTATCTGCAGCCTTCCCTACACAGCGAACCATATCAAATGCTTTTTTATACGCTTGATTTTGATTGTATGATGTTCCCATCATTCCACAACCACGATCTGAAGCAATGCCTGAGTCCAAACTGTGATCTGAGAAAAGTGAAGACTCCATTAGCTCTGATTGCAATGATTCCCCTGGTGGGTAGGCCAATGATGCAATTCCAGGGATTAATGAACTTCGTACGGTAGGCTGTTGACGTTTACGTTGATTTCGGAGTTCTTTTTGTGTTTCCTCCAATAACGATAGAACTTCTTGGTAGCGTGCTTTTGACTCAGCCAATTCCATGGCAAGGGCATTTTGATTTTCGGTAGTAATCCGAAGTCGTGTCGTTTGTTCGTCATATTCGGCTGTCAATTCTTTTATTTGCAAATTGGCTTTGGCCAAGTTACCCGTCAGTTTTTCAATCGATTCACTTTGCGTTTTATTTTCCTCCTTAAGTCGATCCAATTCATAAATTAGATGGTCATACTGGTCCTTTGTACTACTCAATTCATCTCGTATATTGTCCATTAATCGGCGTTCGATCTCCTCAACCTCATCAGTTTCTTTAGATAGTTGTGTCGCTTCATTTCTCAGTGCTTTATTTTCATTCTCTAATATTGACACTTTTTTCTGCAGCAGGTCTAGATTAACAGATGTGAGTGACATTGGAGTATCTAAAATGGAAATAAATGAAAAAAGAACGCGTGAACATATTATATAATTTTAATTGCTTCTTTGCGTTTGATTGAAAAAATACATTTTGCTAGAGTTCTTCGCGCAAATAATATGTTTTTTTCTGTAGTAGCGGCTACAAAAGCCACGAGTGTTTGCTCACAACTAAAAAGTTCATATTAAAAATGATACAATCCACTCAACTCAACTAATTTCATTTCATCTGTACTTGCGTGTTAATATCAGGTTATTATAACAATGCAGCGATAAGATTTTTTATTTCAGCGTTAAGTATGCTAAACGAAGAGTTGACTTTTTGAACAGATCAACAAAAAAACGTTGATAATGTGTGAATTAAACATGCGGTTATCTTCAAATTGACGTCTTATAACCAGGGCCGTAACCAGGATTTTTCCCAGGAAAGGGTGGTTCCACTTTACCAAGTGATAACTTGCCCCAAAAAAACAACTATTTCGAAAAAAAATCTGGGAGTGCTCTTGGAAGTTTACGGAGGGGGCAAAAAGGCCAAAAATCACGAAAAATCAAAGTGATCCGATTTCGATGAAAATTTGTACACGGGATAAGTGAGAAAATATAAGAACTTTGGCACTAAAACTGGTCCAAAAAACTGGTCCAAAATGTCAAAATAAATTTTTGGGGCAAGTTATCACTTCGTGTAGTGGAACCACCCTTTCCTGGGAAAAATCCTGGTTACGGCCCTGTATAACGGCCACATTTTTTTACTTTTCCGTACACTTAGTGTAAAGAAGAGCGTGTTTTGAGCTGACGTTAGCAGCACTAACTAACGTCAGCTGCTGATATTAGCTGCTGACGAGTATGCGTTGCGTTGTTCTAGCGCATTTGCAGTATAAAACCGAAGAGGCAAGCAAAAATATCATTGGAATGTTTGGAGAATATCTCGTTTTTATACTGCTGCTAACGTCAGCTCAAAACACGCTCTGGTAAAGTATAGGAATTGATTCCGAAAACTTGTTTTTCGCAAAATTAGTTTGGATCATCATAAAAACTTATGAAGCGGTCAAGAAATAGAGTCTACAAGAAAGTTTCCGACTATTTTCTTGTAACTTTGTGGTCTTACCCCGGTAAAAATGCCCAAAATTGACGTTTTCCAACATTTTTGTTTAGAAATTTCATTTTAAATGTATTTTTAATTATTTAGTATTTTCTGAACATTTATTCTGCTGAGGCTAATTATAAGGAGAACTAATCTATGAAAATCTCAAGTCAATTCGTGGAACTAAAATTCAATTGAAAAAATAAATTACTTCTTGGAGGAAATGATAGAAAATAAACATTTTAATATTATTTTTTAGCGGAATCAATACACTGTACAAAATTGCGGTGAAATGTGGGCTCCAATACTTTCATAAGATAATGAGAGTGTTCAAAACTGAAGGTTTTTGTTTTCGCTGAATGCAAGTGATGCACATTACAAATACTTGAAGAAAATAATGCTGCGATTTATATTGCCTTTATTTATAGCAAATCGTCAAAAATAAACCAATTGTATGGACAATAGTACGAAAAAGTTCGGGATTACGAATGTATTTCTTCTTATACTATGATTAAATTTTGCGACACTTGGTCGATTGCATAGAAGTTTTTTTTGGAAAACAATGTAAAACACTAGGAATTTGGCACATATCACATAATTTTGATTATTAAACTTACATTCTTCTTCGTTTACAATAGCATCATCGTCATTCGTTAAGGCCGCCAACAAATTACATTTTGTGGTTAACTCGTATTTCAGTTGGATACAATTTTCGTTGGCTACTTTCACATCGTTTTCCAGTTCTTCGACTTGTTTCTTGAGGCGAGTATTTTCGGCTAGTAAATCTTTGCCAATGTGCGCCGTCAACTCCAAATCTTTTTCTTTCTCCTCTAGTAGTCTAGTAACCGCTTCAATGTCATCGTAGACGCGTGTCATCTGGCTCAGGCGATTGGAGCAGAGGACTGAAAAGGAAACAAAATTATTTATTCAAGTATGTTTCTAACAGACATATGACTACTAAACTAATTTAATTTATAATAAGTTTCTACACATTGGTTGCACAATGCAACTTTGTTGTAAAAAGAAAACAATCGATACTACAACGAGTATGAGTCTTAAACTTGTTATGTCATAGATTTTTTCATGATAATTTTTCAAAGAATATTTCAGCATTAATCATATTGAATAAGAAAAATTCAACACTTGTTCTATAGTTATATTTAACCAGCGGTTCAAATATTTTTATTCTTCATCAATTTCCATTTGGGTTCTGTAATTTTTCTTTTGAAAATCACCTTCGCGATTTGCACTCTTTGAGCGACGTTGTTCCCTTAACACCGATAAACGTGCCGACGGAGTTGAAGTCAGTGAGCATCGCCGTTGCTTTTCTGATGCACATGATGCAATCGATAAAGATGGTGTTGATATAATGGATTCATTACATGTATCAAAATCTTCATCCTTATCTGAATTTGAGATTGTATTAGATGACTTGGATTTTATAACTGTTTTACGGAAAGCTGTTACAGCACGACCAAACATTTCACAAATTGATAACACAAAATATCACAACTAAAGTATATTTTTGGAATGACTCGTTCAATGTGTATTTTTCAAACACACGAGAACAAAGAAATCTGTGTTTTAGCAAAGTCGATGCTACCAGCTTGTGTCTACGAAGAACAAAAACTTATGTCACTTTTTCCTAATCTTGCATTTTATGCAGCACTTTAACACGTAATTGTTCGGAAGGAATTTTCTTTCAAGTTACACTTTTCATATTGAACAATAATCGTCGAGGACAAATTAATATTTTCAGTTTCAATTCCAATTTGTTTTTGCTTCACAAGTGCAGGGAATGTCGACCATTTTTGTTTGTCCTTTTTTTGTTCCTGATTTTTTAAAACGCAATGAACTGTCTGAAATCGGAGGATGCGCACTGTATTTCGCAAAAATTCCTCAGCGGCAAGTGACACATGGGATAGAATTTGACAAATGAACAAAAAGGGGGGAGGGCGATTGAATTATTTTAGCATTAGAATTTTTTCAAAATCAATTTTTAGGTTTGCCAAAAACACTAAGTTATTCGTTTTATCATTATCGTTCGACTTCGAGTGTACATGTATTTCGTTCGAACGATTGAAATGAACTAGATAAACTAAAAAAATTGCACTCCATGACGGCACTAAGTACATTCAACGGAACCCATAGAAGAATGTTTGTGAGAGACGGAAAGAAGAAATGTGCAACCAAATGTATCATCTATGTTGCTTTTGTAACTACAAACAGAGTGAAAAAAAAACAATAGTTTCTCAAACAAGCAAGCATACAAAAATATTGAAATTTGTTGAGAAACAAAAGTGTTCCCATGCGCTCTTTTCAGTCTTTCTATGTATAAAATAGTTTCTATCCTCGTTTGGCTGGTACCAAGAGATTATAAGCGCATGGAATAAGTATTTTAATGAGATGCAATGCTCAAGACGTTGATTTTTGCTCTTCTACAGAGTGTTTGAATTCAGCAATAAATGAATACATTGATACTTTGTACTCATTTTATCATTCTTTCGTCTCCTTCATTATCTTCATGTCGTTACCTGAATGTCAGTCCATTGATCTTGCTTTTTTGACTGCTCGTATTTTCCCATTTAAATTGCAAAACAAAACAACAAACCAGAAAGTAAAATCGATCGAACAATAAGTGTGAAAAGAATAATTCTAAATATACATGTAGAAAAGATGTTGCTGCATGTTCATGTATAGATTTTTCATTTTCCCCAATTCTTTGAATGTCATAAATTGCTTCCGCTGAACAATGAATTGGCCAAGAAGTATAGTATTTGCATACATACATATATGCACTCGGAGTGTAGCAAATGTTTGTTTGGCATTTACTGCAGACTGTTTTTTATGTGATTTTCAACATAACATTTTGATTCGAAGACACTAGACATGGTTTTATTCCCGATATATATTTTTGTGCTATTTGTATTAGTAACGCAAATCAAACAATAGATTACATATAAACCTTTCGAACACTTCATTTCATTAATGATGAAGAATTTAAGTAGAAAATGAATTTCTTAATTCAACAATTTTTCGCACACAAAGTGAAATGATCCGTTCATCGATGAACTGTCGCATTCGAGTGGGCAGGTATTAAATAAATCAATATGTTAGCTCTACTTCACTACACTAATAGCAACAATTAACTGATGAGTGAAATGAAATGACTGAATGGATCGAGTCTTTCTTCTTAACATTTTAATTCATCGTTTATTCGATTGTTCATAACGTGAACTTTCGTTTGCCATACATACTCAAGCAAATTGGGCTTTCATTTTCATTTGCTCAGCTATTATTATTTTCACAATAAACTACAAAACTCTCATACCATTTCACAATTGCCACTCATTATATGAAAATATTATTGAGATTTGTCCTAATGATTATACAAAATGTAAGAAAAATATATTAGCGGATTTGTTTTAAATATCTGTGTACTTTTTACTAAATATTTTGCATAGTTTATAATCTGAAAATGTCTCAAAATGAAACCTTTTGATGGTCAACACAGGTCCTAATGTTGCTCAACACAGTTTTCTTCAGTTGAAGGTTAAACTCGTTTGACGGATAGAAACGGATGGAGCCGTTCAACCAATGAACGGTTTTCTTTGTATTTGTGGTAAAAATGAAACGCAACCATATGACGTTCCAATAGAACATTGACTTTTGAAATGACACATGCGCTATAGCCATATTGCGTCGTCTTTCTGTCATGATATACAATTTTGATTCCCCTTTTCCTCCACATTTCAGAAAATCCTATGCATATTGCATGACTGTGACGAAAAAACAACACCTCTATAACTGAAATACACAGTTATGTATAACACAATATACCAATATTGGTTGCATTGTGACATTACATCAATTGCGGTGTCTTTATAATTCGGGACTTGTCTACGATTCATCAATAAATGGAAAATGGTTAACACAATGAAACGTAGAAAAAGCTTTGAATTACATTCAAAAACATGGCACATCTAGAGGTGTCAACGGACACGGACAAAAATTCGGACAATAGTGTCCGTCCGTCCGAAAACCAAAAAAAAAATTCGGACGTCCGGTCCGAATGTCCGAATTTTTTTCGGACGGACGGACGGACAAGGGGTTTTGTCCGAACTTTTCAAATTTTTTCGGACGTCCGAAGTTTTTTCGGATGTCCGTAGAATTTCCGGACGTCCGAAAAAAATTCAAAGCCAAAAAAAATTCAAAAGAAGATATGAATGCGTTAGAATAAAAAGGGCGTATGATACACTTTCGTACCAAAGCGCAACTCAAATCATTCGCAGAACAAAGTGAAACAAAATCATGTTGTTATTTGATTACGGAACACTAGAATATTGTGTGCAAACTATTTGTGTTTCGTTTTGTTCTGATAACATGTGCGGTGTGTCGTTTTGTTTTACTAACCAAATTGTATTTCGCTTCGAAATGCGACGCATTTTTTTTCGATTTACGGCTGTATTGCGACCGTCTACATGGGAAGTTTGTATGAAAACCTCGGAGCGCCGCTGATATTGCATTGGCTTCTATGGCCAAATGTACACATGGAAATATCTCGAAAACGGCTGGGT